TCATCTGCATAGAAATGATATTGGAAGCCAAAAAAGCTAATGAGTTTACCAAGGGAGGCAGTATAGATGGAGAACAGAAGGGGACCAAGGACTGAACCTTGGGGGACACCAACAGAGAGGAGTTGGGGAGAAGCAGCAGAGCCAGAGAAAGAAACACTGAAAGAACGCTGGGAGAGGTAGGAGGAGCACCAGGAGAGAGCAATATCTTGTAGACCTATATTGCGGAGGATGAGAAGAAGCTGTTGATGATCAACAATGTCAAAAGCCACAGACAGTTCAAGAAGAATTAGGATAGAGAAGTGACCACAAGATTTTGCAGCGAGTAGATCATTGGATACTTTGGTCAGTGCCGTTTCCACAGAGTGCTTAGCGCGGAAACCAGACTGAAGCGGGTCTAGCAGAGAGTTGGACTCGAGGAAGTCTGTCAATCTCGCATACACAATTCTTTCAAGGATTTTGGATGCAAAAGGCAGTAGCAAGATAGGACGATAGTTGGATGGGGAGTCAGGGTCAAGATTGGGCTTCTTTAGAATAAGGGTTACAGTTACATGTTTGAAGGGCGGTGGAAATATACCAGAGGAGAGAGAGAGATTGAGAATATTAGTGAGAGGTGGAGAAAGAGAAGAAGACAGAGTACGGATGAGATGCGAGGGAATTGGATCTAGGGAGCAGGTGGTGGGGCGGGAGGACTGGAGCAGAGCAGAAGCCTCTTCCAATGTAGCAGGTGCGAATGAACATAGAACAGCAGAGGGAGTGAAGTTAAGGGAAGTATTGTAAGGGGAAGAAGAAAGATGAGAGATCTCTTCTCTGATTGTAGAGATCTTGTCAGTGAAGTGAGTTGCAAAGTCTGAGGCGGTCAAGTTAGTAGGTGGAGGAGGAACAGCAGGGCAAAGAAGAGAGTTAAATGTGTGAAATAGTCGTTTGGGTTCGCGGGAGAGTGTGGTTATGAGGGTAATTAACTTTTGCAGAGGAAAGAGCCAATCTGTATGAGCTCAGCATAAATTTATAGTGGAGAACAGGTGAGCATTTTACAAATTTTCACCTTTCACATCATTTGAAACAGACAGCACATTGGTTCACTTCTCTCCATGTTTTTTCTTTGAGATACATCATATCGTGGATTGTAGGTGTGATGCTACCTAAAAGCATACAAGCTGTATTACGGAGCCAGTGTTCATATACAGGCTCCTTTACATGCGAGTGTTCTTCATCAACACAACTTTATCTGATTCTATTTGACATACCATCTGCACTATATTGCTTTATTTTATTTTCACATGTACTACATATCAAGTTTGATATCAAGTCACGTGGTAAGTGTAGCCTCTCATCCTTTCAGCGCTCCACTTATAGGTGTAGGTTTTTTACTTATACCGCCTTATAGACTTTGGACTTTTTTGGGTGTGGATAAGAGGGTATTTCCACACAAGTGTTTTGAGCAGCTGTAACAAATTTATATTTGATCTTAGCACTTTATTGGACACACATTCCTCCTAAAGAGCGGTACACCTCACTTAAAGAAACACTCCAATCCACCCACCCCCCAAAAAAATATTAATCACTGTTTAGTAGATTTAGCCTTGATGAAAACATGCATGCATTTATTAATGCCTTTTTTTAATTGGGGTATATCTACAAACAGCTTACAAAAGCTGCTGTTCTCTTGTTTGCTGCCTTTGCATGCCCTGCCCTTCTTCCCAACCCAACCTTTCTGTGTCTGTCCAATCACATACTTCCCATTGCAGCTCAATGATAAGTCTTTGCAAGGCAGGTGTACTGTGCAATTGCTGCCTCGTGAGTTTAGCTCCACTGAGCTAGCCAAACGAGGAAGCAACAGAACCAATTGTCTGCTTGAAAGACAGGGTAGTATGTATGTCAGTGTGTGTGTCTGTGTATCTGTATATTGTCAATATGTGTATCTGTACGTCTGAATATGTGTCAGTGTGTTTGTCTGTGTACCTGTATGTGTGTCAGTGTGTGTATCTGTATGTTGTCAGAACATGTATGTGTGTATCTGTATGTTGTCAGAACATGTATGTGTGTCTGTGTCAGTGTATATGTGCAAGTGTATCTGCATCTGTGTCAGTGTATGCATCTGTGTCTGCATATCAGCATGTGTGCCATTTTGTGTATATGTCTGTCTATATCTGCAAAAGTGTGAGTGAGGTGTTAATGGGCTCACGCTTCCAGTTTGCATGGATTCCCAGCGACGCTATGCACTCTCTGTACTTTGCATTAAATCAGGCAGTTTGTGCCATATGTATGAAATCCTATATCTAAGCATGGGAGCCCAGACAACGGGATTAAAGGCTAAAGGGAGGGGGGTGGAGCCTGGCGCTGAACCGGACCGGACGCCATCTCTCCCAGCTCCGTCGATCACACACACAATCTAGGCGATATCCTGGAGACTAGCCGCCATCCGACTGTGTAAGCATCAGCTACAGCCTGGGGACACCACACCGAATCCCCAGATGCCCTTCCAGTACTCCCCGAAGCATCTAAAGGCAAGACGCAGGACCGGGGCCTACCACACACCCGTGTTTTTGCTAACATCCTGTTCTGAGCGACATTATTTTAACATTATAAAATGTGCTGATAAGTTCATTGTTCCAATTGTTAAGTCTGAAAACTATGCTCGGGGAATGCTATTGGGGCACCACGAGCTTGCTTGTTATCTACTCAAAGCACGATAAAAATAAAGAATAAAAAAAAAAAAAAGTGTGATTGAGTATATTTGTGTGTCTATACATGTATGAGTGTCATTCATTTTTCAAGTTGCCTGTCCTGTTTTTTTGTTTTGTTTTTTTTGTGTTATTTTTCTTTATTCTTATAACAAGCCAATTTGCCCAAAGGAAGGAATTGAGTCTTTTTATGATTGACTTACAAAGAAAAACAATGCAAATATTGAAAGCTGGTCTACAATGAGGAGTAAAGAGTCACCTAAAACTAGGATATCATGGAAATATTCTATGGCATGGCTAAATAGTCTCTTGAAAAGATAATGGAAGTTTGATATATCCCTTAGATTTCTCACTATAATACAACTGAAATTATGTTTTTGCTTGTATTGCCAACTTAGAAAACACAGTCACCGCAAAAAGACTTTTTCAAAATTGCAGATATGAGCAGTTGCAGCAATATAGTTTTACAGATTCATGAATCTCACACCATGTAATGCTGTAAAGGCTTAAAATCAGACACCTTTTTGTGGACTGTTGTACAAGCCACTGACCTGTTTGCGGACTGTTGTACAGGCCACTGTTTTTCATCTAACTTTCATACTGATTTCTAATTCACATATTGTTGAAGAAAGCATGGTCCCTTTAAAAGTGTAAGATACAAGACAAAACCAAGACTTTTGGGGTATGATAACATCTAAAGGGTGCTGTCAAGTCAATAGGCATATTATCTGAGATCCTCCAAAACATTCATTGTAATATCTTTACAGTCAGCAACCAATAGTTATCTAAACTGATTTTCAACAGGTTTAGCATTAACATACCATGTTGTTCCTGGGTAATTGTTACTGGAGAGGGGTTCAAATTACTAGGAACCACACAAAAACACTCACTGTTTTTAAACCACTGGCTAATGAGTCTTTTTTTTTTTTATTGTATACTGTATTCTTTTTGTTGGAATATTCACTATATTTTTTCAGTTATACCATTTAGGAGTTTGTGAGGGTTTTTTTGTTTTTTTGTTTTTACATATTTCCATTATTTATTAAATAATTGCAAGGTACACACATCACAAAAATATTTTACAAAAGTGACTGGCTAGTGTTCAAGACATATTCCACTAGGCCGAAGTCGTTGGTGCGATTGCTCACAGGACCTATAGATAAGTTCTTCCATGGAGTATATGTGCTCAGCCATGTTCAGCCACTCCTTGAGTGTTGGCACAATGGGGCTATTCCAATTTTGTGATATTATTGACTTTGCAGCATTGCATATGCATATAGTGAGTGAGGTCCTATGGCTACTGTTATATTAGAGCAGTGTCTCTGGTGTGAAGGGGGGAGGTTGCAAATTTTTCCTATACAGTGGGTACTCTGTTTACGAATTTAATGCGTTCTCCGGGACGTTTCTTATTGCGAAACATTTGTAAACCGAAACGTGGTTTCCCATAGGAATGCATTGAAAACCAATTAATCTGTTCTGGAGGTCAGAAAAAAGTCAAAATGAGCTGGCATGGAAACCAGCCCACAATGCAGAACACACAATAAAAGGCATGCAAACGACGAAGCTCAGCTCCCTACCTTTCCACAGCTTGAGAAATGCACCAAAAAGTCCCAAAACAACTGCAAACTATTTCCAGAATGACTCCAAAACCCGATGCAAAAGCCGCTCCAACACCTCCACACTCGACGCCACGTGCTACCTACAGGCTCGAGCATGCAGGGGGCGGTGCTATAAACCTCCCAGGTGCAATGCATTCTGGGGAAACTCGCTTTGCATTTTTTCAATGGATTTTCATTTGTAAACTGAAAATTATGTTAATCGAGGTGTTTGTAAACCGAGGTCCCACTGTATTGTCTTTGCTCTGTGTAGTTGTTTTGCTCTGTGTAGTTGTTGATCTTAAATGTTTCAAATTCATTTGAATAGCAGGTGTACATTGATGCCCTAACTCCTTAAAACTTTGTTTACCAAGCAACCTTTATTCTCTATTTCCTCCATGTTATGATACTAGTTAGGTGTCTTGTTCACACCGCTTGCACATTAAAGTTAAAGTGGGCCATGGGTAAAGCCAATTATAATGGGATCCTTTCGGTTAATTCCAACCATAAAATAAATATCCTACAGTTGATAGAAGTCCATTAGAAAAAAAACGCAAAGCAAAAACAACAAGATTAATAGTATCAATATAAAATGTTCTTTATTAAGTGATGGATGTTTAGAGACATTCTGTTGATTTCCATTGTACAGCACTACGGAATTTGCTGGCGCTATATAAATAATAAAATAATAATAATAATAGTAATAATTTCCTCAGCAATTGCTCCATATTTAGCTTTTACCCAGAATGGTGCTTGCTTTTGCCAGTTTGCATCTCACAATGGCCAAAAGATAAATGTTCAGCTGCTGTAAATCTACAACTCCCATGATGCTTTGCCATCATTAGCCATTCTGGCCCACAGCAGGTTAATTCAAGCCCATCGGGATTTTATTCCTTACACGTACACTGTCACAATAGATTAGATTGTTGCTACCACAATCCACTTGTGCTGAACATCTGTAATATAAAAGTCTTTTTGTAATACTTGTGATAAAGTTTGTCCTTGTACAGGAAAAATAGCAATATCTCCATAAGTCCAATGTGATTACTATCAAGGTTTCAGACCTTGAATAAATGCCAGCTAGGAATATTCCACTCAATGTGAGGGGAACAGTGAAAGAGAAAGAACATTTACAAAGAAAAATAAATAAATAAATAAATAAAAGAAACTCTCTTCTAACATGGTGAGACAAATGCTGATGGTGTACATTGAGAATCACCACAGGACAGAATTTGCTTGTATATGCGTACTTCAACATCTGTAATCCAAATTAAAAAAAGTTAAACAACTGCATAATTTCCGAAAGAGGTATTTTATTGTAATCGATTAAATTGGGAACTGTAGAGAATTAAAGGGATTGTAGTGGTCTGGGTGCTGTCTCCCTATTGCACTTAGTGCTGCAATGTGAAATATTGGTCTTCCGGAATCCAAATGGATTTCTGGTCCGTTATCTGACGCTGGACGTCCTCACGGACCTCCATCATCAGATTTTACCCATAGGAAAGCATTGAATCAGCATTGCTGGAATCAGGTAAGTGGTTGAAGGGGTTTTAACCCCTTCAGCCCCACAGAAGGGTGGCACTGTATGTACCTATATTACCAGGAAAACGGGTTTGTTTTCCTGACACTATATGATCCCTTTAACATGGGACTTTTTTTTTTAGAACAAAATAGCAAAGCAGGAAACAAAAATTAATGAGTACGGCTCGTGTAGAATTTGTACTGTAGGTGTAGTTTCTCCACAATTCCAAGTTTAGTCAGTATGCCCTTTTAAGCCTGAAGATAACCTTTAAATAGAAAAGTTGTAGCATTTTAGCAATTGTTTTGTTGAGCTGTGCCATACCGAGTAAAAATATTACGGTCATATCTTATATCACATATGTTATGTGCCCACTTTGTCCACTTGGAGTGTTGGAAACACATCTGTGGCCATCAATAACTCTGTACAGATCATGAAAGCTCTAAACATACATTTCTGTGTTTAAATAAGAATTTTTTTTTTTTAATCACCAAGCAAAACTGATGGTATGATAACAATCAGAGAGGAATGTGCTTTGTCATTCAGTTTTGGCCTTCACTGCAATGTTTTTTTTTATATATATTTCAGGAATAAAAATGCATACAATGAACTATAACCAGTGCCTTGCATCCTATAAATAAATACTTTTCCTGGTTTTGTTCTGCTTTCTTTCCAAAGTTCGGAGCCAAATCATAAGATTAGTTCTTTTCAACACCAGTCAGTATTGTATTCCCCTGTGTGTTCTCAGTTTATGGGGCAAAGCCCTCTGCCAAGTTCTTACCTAATAAGCACTTTGCTGTAAACAAAATGAGTTGAATATACACTGATAAGCCAGGCTCTCACAAACCTAGGTGCCATGTATTCAAACAATTTATTTCAAACTGGCATCTGACCCTTCCAACACTTGGCATTCAATGCTCTCTGACTTGAATTGTACAGGACGGCGCGAACCCCCCCTATTTAATTGTAGAAAATTATGCATAAAAATATGTAAATTACAATAAAGAACATTATGTGTCATGGTCTTATGGGTAAGCTTTATAGTTATTTATACTGTTATTATTTTTCATTATCATCAATCCAAAATGTAAATGTAAAAGTAATTAATAGAAAACAATACTTTCTTTTAAAGTTCTAGCATTAGCTGCAAGTCAGCAGGATTTCCTTCTCCTTCAATGAGTTCTCACCAAACCTCAGCCAATCATTCTCTCTCCATAGCTTTCTACTGGAGTGCACAGCATGAGCTATATTAAAATAGCTACTCTGTATTAACTGGTGAAGGCCTATGGGAACTAAAGTAAGTGTAGTGGGCTCGTCCTGTGCTACCAACAAAGGTCCAGTATTTAAAGGGATCCTATAGTGCGAGGAAAACAAAAACGTTTTCCTGGCACCATAGGGAAATAGGTCCGCCCCTCTCTTGTGCCCCTCTATCGCGTTAAAAACCCTTCAGCTACTTAACTGAATCCAGTGCCAATGTCCCTTGGTGAGGCTCCGCCCACGCTCCCACGCTGACGTTGGTGGGGGAGACCTAATGTGCATGCGTGGCAATGGCCACGCACGCATTAGACCTCCCCATAGGGGAACGATATTCAATGCATTCCTAAAGGGAAAATCTGAATCTGGCTGGAGGTCCATGATGATTTATGCCCTAGAACACACAGCCTCAAAATGCTCATTTAAAGGGACACTAAGCACCAAAATGACTAAATATTAATGTAATTATTTAGTGCACTTATGCTCTCACTTTACTCTGACAATGTAAAATACTGCAATTCCTGAGAAACCGCAATAATTACAATTCTGTAAGAGCATTATGGCAGTAAGATTGACAGCCTATAGAGGCACTTCCTCCTTAAAGGGACACTCCACTGCTTAAATAAAAAGTACACATATTAGTAGTTATACTCCAAATGAAAACATTTGTGCATTTAATAATGGATTTTCTTTCATTAAGGGTACATCTTCAAACCGCTTGCAAAAGCTGCACATTTCTGGTCTGCAGCCTTTGCAATCCCTCCCCTTCTAACCCTGCCCACACTTTCTGTGACTGTCCATTCGCAGACTTCCCAATGTAGCTCAATGAGAAGTCTTTGCTGAGGTGGTTAACAAGGTTAATTTATAATTAAAAAAAAAAAAGCCAATTTCGATTAAAATCTGCACTTTTTATTAAATGATAAAAGAGGACACACGCCTAACACATAAAACACTTTTGCAGGCTGATTTTTTGTTTTTAAACAGCAACCCACTATAATAAGCAAAGGACAAAAATAAGATTCTGTATAACAATATTCTAAACTTAAGTGTCTTTTTTAAATCTCTTTTACCTTCCTTCCTATATCAAACAACGTTCACCTTTATTTACCAGGTCAAGAAACTCACTCTACAATGTATTATATCCTGCACATGGGTCATTCTTATCTTCCCATACCGGAAAAAAACCCTTCTCACTTATCACCAGCAAGGAAAGCTGGTCCAGTTATCTCAAGAACATGTTAGTTTTCTTACACAACTTCCCATGTCCCAATCAAGTCTAGTCTTTTAACTAATCACAAATAAACTTTCACTGTAAGTACCATTGTGAAGGCTCTTTGACTCAGGTGTTTTAGGAGAGATAACAAGATAGATTTATAAAGTGAACGGTATCCATACAATGAAAGCTTGTATTCTGATAAAGTTGGAGAAGATTTGTGACTATTTGAATATTAGATTTTATGTGCAAACCTTTACCTCTTTTCAAAGATTAAATTTAAAAAATATTGACATTAAAGTTTTAAAGTTATGCAGACTATTAAAAAAACAAACAAAAAAACACTTTCTTGTCGGGGTGAGAATCAGAAAAGCACTATAAGGGTTGTTTTTCTACTACAAAATGCATCATCCATCTTTGAAACCTTATAAGTCTGAAACTTTATATCCCCAAGCCTACCTCTAACTCTGTCCTTGCCTTAGCATTTCCTGCTCATCGGAACTTTCTGCTCATGGAGTGGTTTTAAATGGTGCATTTGCCAACGTCGCTGCAATGCACCAACATAACCATTGTCGCTAAAGAAGAGCAGCATTTAAAAAGTGCTGTTCTGAAGTGTATACGTCTTTCAAATTTAATTTAGTAACGATATAGTAATGAATGGAGTTTCAAATTCAGTAGAGACCTTTTAACTTTTGGCCTGACAACTTTGATGTGCCAGTTCTTCGGGTAAAGAGAAATGAAAAAGAAATATGAAGATGTTTTGATTTTTGACTGCAAAGCTTGCTTTGCGCTCTTCCAAGTTTTAGCCCTGCTCAAAATCTCTCTAAACATCTGGGTGAAAGGTCGCATAGTTACAAATGTACTAAATAAGACTGTCTGGGATATAAATATACATCTATATATGGACTATTTTATCAAAAGCAGATAACTTTATTTGATTAAATAAAAACAAGGCTACTGTACACAATGGCACAAAGTTCCTGGATTAGATCATTTATATAACAGTAATAGGTACCAGCATGTACTGTGCTGATCATGAGAACTCCCATTAACTCCCATGATGAGATTTGTAGTAAAAGAAGCGCTCGTTTATAAACTACCTATTGAGTACTAAAAGGACAATTAAATATCTATACCCACTATGTCAGTTCTATCCAACTATGGCTTTACAATGTTTGTTGGGCTACAACTCCAAGTAGTGTGAACCTGAAGAAATATACGGTAAATTATACTACTGAGTTTATATGTTAAAAAAGACTCTCAGTACCATAATCACTACAGTGTACTATAGTGGTTATGGTGCCAGAAGTGTCCTGCTGCCCCCTCCCAATCTAAATTGTGAGATTATTTTAGAATAGTTTGTCTTCATACTTGGTATTACCTGCTTTGCTGATCCCTGCCTATACCTCATATAGACATGCAAAAGCTCCTAACAGCAGCTTCCCTTAGCTGTCCTGAGATAAGATCTGCATTACAGGGCTATCTCGTTTAGTTCAGATGGAGAGCTTCCAGCTCTCTGTGGAGGTAGGAACCAGTGCCTGGTGAACCTCAATCCACTCTAAAATGATATGACTACTTACAATGGGAGTTCACCAGGCCAAGAGGCCACGGAGAGGCCACCATCTTTGAAAATGTGTCACTGAGGGAAGTTATACAAAAACAAACTATCCTTAGAGGTAGTCATCCAGGGGTTTTAAACTGTAGACCTTGTGAACTTTTTATAGTAGAAAATTCGTACCCACCGGTTCTGTGCCTCAATTTCAGTGTGTGCCCCTACTTCATACTCAAAAACCTGCAAATCAAACCTGAAGCTGACTCTCACAACATGGGAAGGAAAACTAAAAGATCTAGATCCGATAAGCTGAGAATGGGCATGAAGCAAGCGCTGTGGACCCTAAAATGGTCGACATCTCAGAAGACGATACTGAGATCTCAGATTACTTTTCTCTGGTAACGGCAAAG